ATAGCCACCACACTGTAGTCAGACTTACATTCTCCAGATGCAAGTCTGGTTTTGTCCCCATTTAAAATCCTTCATTAGGACAAGGTCAGTTGTGGTGGTGCACACCTTTAATCCCAGCATTTGGGAGGCAGTGGCAGGTGGATCCCTGAGTTCCAGGAAAGCCAGGGTTACACAGAGAAAAAATAAACAGCAACAACAACCAAAAGTAAACTCATTTATTGCCCCCCAGGACCAATTCAGCCTCTGTTACTCAGCAGTCAAGGTGCTTCCTGCTTCTCCCTCTCCTGCTCTTATTTGATCTCCACAGGATCTCACTATTTAGCCCAGGCTGCCCTCAAATTGGCTACGTAACCCAGGCTAGCCTCAAGCTCACAGTCTTCCCTGACTCGGCCTCCCAGAGTACTGGGATCACAGGCAGGTGTTGCCATTCTGTATGTGGCTCTTCCTGATGTGGCCTTTCTCTGGTAATTCCATCTCTCACCGTGCACACACAGTTCTCCATCCCCATCTCATAGTGTAGTCAGAGAATGGAACACCCTGACAGGAGGCACAGACTCAGTATAGATCTTGACATAACATAAACACCCAAATAGTAGGACGGTTTATTTTTAAACCCCAGAGGTGGAAGAATCTTGGCATGCTTCACGGAAGAGGTGTCACTGGAATAAGTCCTTGATTTGTGAGAGGATTTGGCAACATAGGATCTGGGGGAGCAGAAGATTGGGAAGGAGCAAAGGTCAGAATTCATCATGCCTGGGGCAGCACAGGGTGGCCTCCAGGAGCTTGTGAAAGAGAGTGGTAAGGGTTTAAAGGTGATGAGAATTGGGGCTCTTTTCTAGGGACAATGTGAAGCCTGTGAGATGCTGAGTAGATGGGACTCCCTCAGCCTCCATTGTGTGTGGTGTGTGTATGCATGGGCATCCGTGTGCAGGCAGTTGAAGCCAGAGGAGGACTTGGGGTGTCTTCCTCTATTGCTCTCATTTGTTTGTTTGTTTGTTTTTCAAGACAGGGTTTCTCTGTGTAACAGCCCTGGCTGTCCTGGAACTGTCTCTGTAGACCAGGCTGGCCTCAAACTCACAGAGATCTGCCCGTCTCTGTCTCCCAAGTGCTGGGATTAAAGGTGTGTGCCACCACTACCCCGCTGTCTATTGCTCTCTTATTGCCTTGTGATGGAGTCTCTCACAGAACCAGAAGCTCACTGTTCTGTCTACATCGGCTGGCATGTCAGTTTGGAATCTGCCTTTTTACCTCCTCTCCCAATGCTGACGGACATGCAACTAAAATTATTTATTTAAAACTTATTATTTTACATGTATAGTGTTTTGCCTGTATGTGTGTCTATGCACAACATTCATGCATCATCCTCAGAGTCCAGAAGAGGGCGTCAGATCCCCTAGAACTGTTACAGAAGGTTATGAGCTGTGGTGTGGGTGTTGAGAATCAAACCTGGGTCCTCTGGAGAAGGAACCAGTGCTCTTACCACTGAGCCATCTCCCCAGCCTCTGGACATATGTACGTACATACATACGCGCGCGTATGTTAAGTGTGTGTGTGTGTGTGTGTGTGTGTGTGTGTGTGTGTGTAGAGGTGTGCATGTGGAGACCAGGGGTTAATTTCTGGTGTATCCCTAGTTACTCTCCACCTTACTATTCTTTCTTTTCTTCTTCGTCTTCTTCTTCTTCTTCTTCTTCTTCTTCTTCTTCTTCTTCTTCTTCTTCTTCTGTTAGCAATTTAAATTTTAAACTAAGTTTCACTGTCTCAACAGAGCTAAATGAACCACACAGAGTTTCTCTGTGCAACTGTCATAGCTGTCCTAGAACTTACTTTGTAGACCAGGCTGGTCTTGAACTCACTGAGATCTGTCTGCTTCTGCCTCCTGAGGGCTGGGATTAAAGGGTGTGCCACCATTGCCCAGCTAAATGAACACATTTTAATAGGAGTATGAATCACTCTTTTTATTGTTTAATTGTCACATTTTCTATATTTTGGCACGCACACACACACACACACACACACACACACACACACACTTAAGTTTAAAACTCCAGCTTCTTTACTAAACCTCACGAAGAGGCTGGAGAGATGGCTCAGTGGTTAAGAGCACTTGCTGCTCTTCGGGAAGACCCAGCCCCTACAGCCAGCAGCTCACAATTGCCTCTAACTCCAGCTCCAGGGGATCTGATGCCCTCTTCTGGCCTTCACAGGCACTTACACACATGACATACTCTCATGCAGATACACACATACAGATTAAAAAATCTGAACCTGTGCTCAGGCATACCAACATGCCTGATTCTATGCCTGGGTGTTGTGGACCAGGCAAAGCAAGAGCTTTATGAACTGAGCTATTTCTCTAGCTTTTAAAAAAATATAACATTCTTGAGACAGGGCCTCCCTATGGTGCCCAGGTTAAGTTTTAACTGGCGAGTCTCTTGCCTCAGCCTCCTGAGTGCTAAGAGGATGGGCACACTCTGCCACCCCATGCTCTTTCCACCTCCCTTCTCATCCTCACTAGCAGCCAGAGGGGCCTTCCAGAAGTGGGTGTCCCATCATCCCCCCTGCCCTTCCTTTACCACCTCCAGCTGCTTCTTGACACTTTCTTGGTGGTGGTGGGGCACTCTGGAAGTTACTGGAAGACAGTAGTAACTAACAAAGACACCCTTTCCATCCTATAGCCTCTTATTTCCACTCTGAGAGCTCTAAGCACACTGGCCTTTATCTGGCACCTCCTACTCTCCTCAGGCAGTGACTGTTGAGCATGTACACATCTGCCCTACAGACCATTTGCCCACATCACTCTTTTTCCTTTACAGAAAGAATCTATGCAATGCCTACCCACCCATCACAACATTGCAGCCTTCCTCCCAGAAGTCCTTGCTTCTCCTCTTTTATAAGCTCGCATAAGCCATGTGTGTCTCCTCTTTAACACTTTCTGAGCTTGCAAGTTCGTGTGTGTGTGTGTGTGTGTGTGTGTGTGTGTGTGTGTGTGTGTGTGTGTGGGAAAAGAAGACCATAGGGTTGTAAGACCCCAGGCATAAAAACTGAGACTCTTACCCTGCAGCTCCCTGGGGGCCTGACACGATCAATGCTTGGTATAAATATCAGCAGAATGAAATAATGTGTTGGGAATGAAATGGAAAAGAAAGATCATATCCAGAAGGATCTTTAGGAGGCTATTGTCACAGCGCAGGTAAAAAGGGGAAGTAGGATAGATACAAGATTAGCATCATAGCAACAGAATTGACTAGGAGAGGAAACACATTAGCATGGTGGACTCTGAAGTTGTGGCTCAGTGGTTGGGCACAAGGCCCTGGGTTCAATCCCCAGTGCTCAAAATGAACAAAGAATTAAGAAAAACAGTTGTGACTTAGACGGTGGACTGCAGCTGTTGCCAGTAAGTGGGGTGTAGGCTAGTGAGAGGAGTCACAGAAAGAAAGGGGCAGCTGGATGCCACTGTGGCCTTGGGGTGGGATGCAGTTAGGAGATGGGTTAGGATCTGAGAAAAGCGGTCAAGGCACTAACACAAGGGTGAGAATACGTGCATGAGAAGCAGGAAGAAGAGAGATCATGTCATGAGACATGATCTGGTCCTTGGCTTCTTAAGTCAGAGAAGTGGGGGTAGCACCTGTGATCCCACTAGAATGATTCTAAGCAAGCTGCCTGGTAAAAGCAAGGGCTCAGTTAGTCACTGTCATCATCATCACCATCACTCTACCATCAAGGTACTTGACGACGTGTCTCTGCGGCACAGGTCCTGAGCCGGAGTCAGCAACTGCCTGTGTTATAGAATGAATTTAAGATCAGACTAGATAATTTAGCAAGACTCTATACAGATTTTATATATATATATATATATATATATATATATATATATATATCCCAGCACAGGCAAAGCACTGGGTTTTATCTTTAGCACTACAAAACTCCAAAACAAATTCATCTTATGCCCGTACTTGGTAGATCAATAGAAAGAAAAGTAAAAAGGGGCTGAGAGTCAGAGGCCACAAGTCCAGTCTCAGTTCTGATGGCCTGGGCCCTGGGCCAGTGTCCTGCCTGGCTGAACCCTGTGTTTTCAAGTATAAAGCACTGAGAAGTTGTCTCCAGTTTGTCTGTGGCCCTGAGAGCAGTCACACCCCAGTTAACCCTCTAGACATGGGCAGCCTAGAGACTTGGGCAAGTGCATGAAGCCCACGGGGGACAGAGGGACTCTAGGGTAAGGACTCTGAAGACATGGAGCCAGCCCTGGCTGGCAGATAGTCTTGGGCCATTATAGAAGGGGCCCAGAGGCCCCCGTGTGAATGTTTGGATATTCAAGGCAGCCAGGGCTAACCCAGGGGCCTCCCTGTCCTTACAGTCTCCACTCCACCCTCATCCACCCAATTTTACCAGATTCACAGGGTCCCAGAGAACTGAAGTCCGCCACCAAGAGAACCACAGATCAGAGTTACCCAGCCTGGCTTTCCTTATGGGATCACAAAGGTGGGCTGTGTTAACAAGGTCACCATCATGGAAGGAACTGGGAGAGAGGCCAGTGCCTTTGGTTTTGTGGCAAGGAAGAGGTCATGGAAGAAGGAATCAGGCATGCTATGAGAAGAGAAAACCACAGGGCTGCCTTCCAGTCCCCATGTGGCCGTGGAATTGTACTCAGGAGGGGAATGCAGGATTTCTGGCCTATCTGTTCCTGCAAGGTGGACTGGACTTGTCTACCCTCTCAGGTCCTTGATCTCCACTGTATTACCTGCCACTGTCATCCTGCCCCTGCCCTGTCACTAGCCTGAGAAGAAGCACTTGACATTGCTTGGTTCTTTGTCCAGTAGTCCCCTGGGGGAGGGGTCTGCACAAGAAGCCCAGGTCATGTGTCCTGGAGGAGCCTGCTGGACTGTGGGTGGCCAGGAGGATGGGGTGTATCTGGAATTCATAAGACCACTGCGTGGCTTTCATGCCCACGTGGCTGAGGGACAAACTTCCTGAGGTTTCTCTGCCCTCTCCTCTCTTTGCAGTCTCGAAGTAGTGTGCAGCAGGGAGATATGGATGGGGCACGGAGGCTGGGCCGCCTGGCACGGCTGCTTAGCATCACCTTCATCATCCTGGGCATCGTTATCATCATTGTGGCTGTCACTGTCAACTTCACAGGTGAGGCACAGGGGCATGGAGCAGAGAGAGTCCCAGGATCAGGGGCAGTGGTGAGGGGGTAGCTGTATCCTTTCCCTCAGTCAAGACCATTGAGGTGAAGGTGTGTTTTCTGACTCATCTTATGCCTGGACTTATGGATCAATAGAAGAATGTAGAGAGGGCACCGGCCTAGGAATCAGAGGTCACAAATTCCAGTCTCAACTTGGATGGCTTGGGATCTGGGCCAGTGTCCCATTTGGCCGAACCTTGCATTTTCAAGTAAAAGTACAGAGAAGAAGCCTCCATCATGGAGGGCTTTTGTGAGCATCACGCTGGATAATGGATGTGACAGCTTTGGAGACTGATGATCAGGCCTCCTTGCTGTACAGTCAGGGTAGCCCAGAAATAAGTGGCACGTTCAGAAGACAGCAGGAAGCAGCGCTGTTAGTACCTGAAGGTGGCCCAGGGCACTTGTCCGAGGTGGAAGCTTTTTCAGAGGACACTGTCAGCCAGCCATATCTTTGTGGAGGATATTCATCTCAGTGCTGCCCAAGCATGGGGCACTCTGGGACATTTCTGTTTATTTCAGAGATCAAGCTAAGCCTCTCTCATAAAGACCTTGCTGTTGTAAATATTTTTCATGGTCCTGCTGCAAGGGGCATCACCTGGCACTGTTTTTGAGTCTCAGGCCCCACCCTACATGACTGAATGGAAATCTGCAATTTAGACTTTCTTCCTTTCTTTGGTGGTGCTGAGGCTGGAACTCAGGGCTTCACTCATGCTAGAAAAGCGACCTCCCATAGAGCTAACCACCAGCCTAGAATGTGTAGTCTAATAAGATTACCAATTCAGGTATCAGGCTGGGAGGCACTGGCCTAGAGCAGAAAGTACTCAGAGCCTGGGGCCCAGTGTAGGGTTATACGCAGTCTTGCCTACTCAGGAGAAACAAATGTGCAGGGTTTTTGTTGTTGTCGTTATTGTTAAAGATTTATTTATTTATTATGTATACAGTTTTGCCTGCATGTATGTATGCCTACACTCCAGAAGAGGGCACCAAATCTCATTATAGATAGTTGGTGGTTGCTGGGAATTGAACTCAGGACCTCTGGAAGAGCAGTCAATGCTCTTAACCTTTGTGCCATCTCTCCAGCCCACAAGTGTGCAGGTCTTTGACTGGGCTCGGAGTTCAGATCCTCTATTTACTTCCTGTGTAAATGAAGTTTCACATTTCATAAGCACTGAGGCTTGGCTTTCTCCATCAGTGTGGAGTGTGATGGGTGGGTGTTCAGGTATGTGAGTGGCAGGAACCAGTGTCCCAAGGCATTGGGCTCCATATCACTCATTGTATCCCAGGCTACTTGTTCTGCTGCTTGTCACTGTCGCCGGGACAACTTTGGAACTCAATTTGGCACAGGAAGTTTGCAGCTTTCATAAAAAGCTATTTCAGGATTGGCTGTTCTAGTTTGGTGCAAAGTCATATCTAGACACTTGGTGGCCAAGTGGCAGGAATCTGTCTCATGCTCTTGTCTGACTTTCAGTGTGTTGGGCTAATTTTCTAGGCAGGATCTCTGCTTATGATGGCAGGAGACAAACACCAGGGACAATAGTGTTCTAGGAGAGGCAAATATGTCAATCAGTCCAGTAATTCAGCAGTGATTTTTTTTAAAGTGATGGATGGGACATTGTGTCACGTGCTTATAATCCTAGCACTTGGGAGGTGGATGCTGGAGGACCAGCCGTTTAAGTCCAGAGGGTTTAGGGACAACCCTAGGTCACATGAGACTGCCTAAAAGAAAATCAATCATCTTTAGGCTGGGTGTAGTAGTTCATGCCTTTAATTTCAGGAGGCAGAGGGAGGTGGACTGATCTACATGGGAAGCTTTAGGCTAGCCAAAGCTACTTTAGTGAGAACTTAGTCTTAAAAAAAAGTTAAAATAAATATTGCTTCTAACAACAGGTTAAATGTCCCGAGATTAATTTTAATTGGTCCAGTTAGTGTCACATGAGCATTCTCTAACCAATCACCAATGGTGGGGAGTTCCTGCATCAAGAGCCCCAAACCAAAGATGTCCCTGACTGTGTACCTTATCCTAGTTACCATTTTTCACCAAGAGACAGTTCAACATGGGTTCATAGCCCTTTAAACCGGGGCTCTGGAGACCCAGTGTCCTCACGCGGTTTCACCATACCCCTTCTTTTCTTTACAGTTCAGAAGTAGCCACCGAGCTGTTTCTAGCGAGGCAGATGCCGGCCAGCTGGAGAGCTCCGAACCCACACATCCCCACACATTATAGAGGACAGGATGGTGGCTGCCAAGTCCCCACCTGTTCCCAAGCTCCAAAAGCACAAACTTGGAGGGAAACCTCTACATCACTCCATTGTCAGCCCACGGCAGACGGGAAAGAAAATCTGGAATGAAGTTGGCCGTGAACCCAATGAGTAATGAGGCTTAATCTCATAGACACATCATTCGCCTTTGACCTCAGTTCTCAGGCTTGTTTCTCATCTCCCACAATTCCTGGGACTTACACGCAGCGTAAACTGCCAGAATGGGAAGAAAACCAGCCCTACGGCCAAGAAAGAAGCACCACACACCCTGGGTGTCTGTGGACACGAGCACAGTCTGGGCCGCCATCTTTTCTATTTTTCTTGATAGGGAGCAAACAGACTCCTTGCATGCTTTGTGCGCAGCATCCATGGTGATCCTAGCCTGAGCCCAAAGGTGAAGCTGTCACTCAGCATGGGCCCTGGATACCCGCCTGCAAAGAGGCAAGAACCATATGGAAATCTTCCACTGCAGACTGAATAGGGATAGCATGACACACCTGGCACTCTTCCTGAACTTCAGCCTCGAGGCTTCTCTACCAAGGACTTTGGTTCTACAGTGTCTTCCAGAACCATGGGGTCTGCCTCCTACTTCGAACCTTGTGCTTTAGCCTGGGGCACCAACCTGGGAAGTCCTAGAACTTCAACTGACCCAGGTCAGCCATGGGGGAGGGACAGATCCTGAGTTCTCTCCTGCCACTGACTCTTTGGGGGTCTGGCATCCCATCTTGGTAACCCATGCAAGTGACTCAGGGTCCTCTCTAGGGCATTCAGGGGTCCTACACAGAAGAGATGAGGTAAGCTCTGGTTTCAGGTTGTTAGCCCAACTCTAAGGGGCTGGTTCTGTGTCCCTGGCCATTCACAGCAACAAAGGCTTTCCCTAGAGGTAACTTTGAGACTCCTACTGGACTCTCCAACTCAGGCTCTCAGGAGTCTTTGCTGCATTTTGTAAGGGAGGGGCTAGAAAATTCTTAGGAAGGCTTGTTATTTCTTGATCTAGAGTCCCAGGAGTATGGAAGGAAAGGCTCAGCTGAAGGGTCAGTCTAGAGTGGGGACTGGAACAGGGTATAAGGGCCCAGCAGCTACATCCTTTGTCTTAGGACCCAGCAGAACACGGGAAAGGAGTCCAACAGAGCCCTCTGGCAAAGAGCCTCCTGCTTTTGCTCTTGTGCTTCTCCAGTTTTCTACCTGGCACAGGCTGTGCCTACAGGGGCTTCACCTGCTGGCCTTGCTTGCTCTGAGCCCCCACTACCCAATGTCATACCCCCCACCACCACCTTCAGCTCAGATCTGGGAGGGTAATCCAGGCTTCCCCTGCCTGGTAGCTAGGGCGACTGGCTTCAATAGGGCAACAGATCCAAAGCCACAACCACCCTGGTTGGGGATTGGAAGTTCATTTCCTCTGAACAAAATCAAGACCCTGATACCTCCTCCCCAGGGCTCACTGCCTGGCTCCCTATAATCTCAGGAACCCTGGGCAGGGCAGGTTAGCACTGAGTGCTGGCCGGCCACTAGGAGAGCTCTGGGGCTCCCAGACAAGGTCAGAACAGCTGCTGGGAGGGCTGAGGGGTTGGGAGTGTCTCCGTGGGGTTGGTATCCCTAAATCAGGCTCCCATTGGGGGAATAAACTTGGGCTTATGTTCCTAAAGCAGGTACTGACTGTGAACCCTTTATGGGATCTTTGAAGCCAAACTAGAGATGTCCCCATTTGCTGTGGGAAGTAAGTGTGAGCCCAGAATATGTGTGAGTTGAGAGGTTGGGTCAGGGGAGATGTACTGTCTATGGAAACAGCCTGTCACAGACCCCTGATCCTAAAGGCCCCCCCCACACACACACTGGGGGTCCAGCTTTGGGACCTCAAAATGAGGGAAAGGAAAGACACTGTCTAGGGATTGTCATGAGGGGGAGAAGAAGCAGAGGGGGACTTGTCTTCAGCCTCTGCATCTCTGGAGTCCAGCCTGCATCCAGCCATTCCTTCCCATCCCCTAGTCACAAGTGTACACACACTAGGCCTGTCATTCACACCCTCACACTTATTCACACTTCAGCCTGGAACAATTGGAGTCTCTGCATCAGGGAAGGGCTTAGCTGGAATGTTTTTCCACTTAGGCAAGAGCAACCTGAGAGCTTTCCCATGGTTCCAGAAACACACCCCAGAGGTTCCTAGGGAGGTCCCCTGGGCAGAGGGGAGCACAGGACAGGAGGTGAGAGCCATTGGGGTGGGAGAAGATTGAGGGAGGATTTTCTCAGCACCCAGTTCCCATGAAGGTGGGAGGAACAGGGGCCCTGCTGTCCCAACACTGTCTTGGTTCAGGGCTAGCTGCATGAGCACAGTGGCTAAGGGTGCTGACCTTGCCTCTGTTTGGGCACCCTGGTGAACAGCAAGAACTCCCCTCCCCACTACACACTAATGACTCTGTATTTCTTGGCATGGAAAGAAATAAAGCTGAACATATGTGTTCCTTGTGTGTGTGTGTGTGTGTGTGTGTGTGTACTGCTGAGATCAGGTGTTCCAAACAGCCAAGCAGGAGCAGTCTACTCAGGCTGTCAATCCCTGGATTTGACTGTGGGCCTGGGGATCCTGTGGTCATTGGGCTCCATAGACAATTCAAGACATTCCTATGGGCAAGTCACCATTCTCTCCAGACCTTGCTTTTACACACTATAAAGCAGGTGGGCGGGGGGGGGGGGGGGGGGAGGACAGGGTCCTAGGACTCAAGAGGCAGCAGAACAAAGTGGGTCAGGTCATGGTGCTGGGTTCAAATCTCAACTGGCTATTTACTAGTTGAGGCCTCCTGGGGGAGCTCCCAACCTCCCGAGCCTTATCAGATCTGAAGTGTGAGCATTCAATGAAATAATCCGTGTCAAGATGAGAACACCACCTTCACCATCAACTCAGATCGCCCAAGAACTAAAGTTGGAGTGCACATGGGACAGGCTGGAGGCTTAGCCCAGCTTCTCCGTGCCATAGGAGGCGTGCCCATGCCCTGCTTCCCTCTGCTGCAGAAAAATAAGTGCCTATCCTACCTACTCTATACATGTGTGTGGGAGAGTTAACAATCAACTGCCCCTAAGGTAGAGCTGGTAGCACAAACCTGTAGTCCCAGCTACCTGGGAAGCTGAAGCAGGTGGATTGAAAGCTCAGGACTGGCCTTGATTGTTGCATGAGTTTAAAAGGCCACCATCCTGGGCAATTTAGTGAGGTCCCATCTCAAAATAAAAAAGCCTGAGGATACAGTTCAGCAGTGAAGCATTTACCTAGTACATGTGCTACCTTGGGCTCAATCCCCAGTAACACACACACACACACACACACACACACACACACACAGCCTTTCTAGTGCCCTAGTCATACCCCATTTCTTGGTACCTGCCTCCTATGGGGTTAGTGGGGTACCACGTGGTTAGTAGTTCACTCTCTTTCCATCTGGTCTCATATTTAGTCCCCATCTGTGTAACAAGCACCCTCCTATATGCAACACGAATGTGTGAAGTCAGGCCCTGGAAGAAGACACACAGCACATACTCATGAGGACATGTGTGTGGGTTTCCTGGAGCAGGAGGAAGTCCCAGGGTCTGCCTGGAAGGGGAAGGCAGAGGTGACTTCCTTGAGGGGCCCTTCCCTCTCTCTCATCACAAACTTGTACTAAAGACCTACTGTGTGGCAGGCCCAGCACTGGACCCTGGAGCCATGGAGACACAAAGATAAAAAGGACATGCTTCCTGGATCATGTGGCCTTTGATTTTAAGGAAAGCTCTAGGTAGGAAGGGGTGGGTTTGTTGTGGCTTGGGGAGCTTCCTGGATAGGTGATGACAGCAGTTTAGAGGCCTGTCCCAGGAGGTCAGGGGACAGATGCCATCAGAAGCGTGGCCCCCTCAAAACCTCCCCCTGGTATGTGGGGGACAGGCAGCACTCTGTCTTGTTGACTGGCCATTTGTGTAAGATGCCCTGGGTCCTTGGGGGTCAGGCTCTAGATATCTGTGTAAGACACCCCAGTCAGGTTCCAGACAGCGGTGGCCTGATTGTTACAGTATGGACCCTTACCTTTTTGTTTGCCTTTTGTCTCTGTAGTCCTAATAATGGTGCCCATGTAAGTGTCTGTTCACTATAGTGTTGCTGGTGACATCCCCCTGGTGGCATTTCTTTTTACTGTGGACCCTCAGTCAAGTAGAGCTGAGGCTAGCACTTCCTGTATCCTGAGTACCAGCATCATCTTAACCCTCCTAACACCTCACACTTATTCACACTTCAGCCTGGAACAATTGGAGTCTCTGCATCAGGGAAGGGCTTAGCTGGAATGTTTTTCCACTTAGGCAAGAGCAACCTGAGAGCTTTCCCATGGTTCCAGAAACACACCCCAGAGGTTCCTAGGGAGGTCCCCTGGGCAGAGGGGAGCACAGGACAGGAGGTGAGAGCCATTGGGGTGGGAGAAGATTGAGGGAGGATTTTCTCAGCACCCAGTTCCCATGAAGGTGGGAGGAACAGGGGCCCTGCTGTCCCAACACTGTCTTGGTTCAGGGCTAGCTGCATGAGCACAGTGGCTAAGGGTGCTGACCTTGCCTCTGTTTGGGCACCCTGGTGAACAGCAAGAACTCCCCTCCCCACTACACACTAATGACTCTGTATTTCTTGGCATGGAAAGAAATAAAGCTGAACATATGTGTTCCTTGTGTGTGTGTGTGTGTGTTCATCTTCCTGAGATGAAGCCCGACTCAGAGAGGCCGAGCTAGACAGGGAGTGCTGCGATTATAGGTGTGTGCTACCATTCCAGGTTGCTGCTGCTTCTTCCTCTTCCTCTTCCTCCTCTTCTTCAAAGGAAATAAAAGTAGTGTGGGTAACAGGGGTCTCTCTGGGCCTTAGAAAGCCTCCATAAAGATCAACAACTTCAGCTAGGTGATGGTGGTACACGACTTTAGTCCCAGCACTTAGGAGGCAGAGGCAAGTGAGTCTCTGTGAGTTTGAGGCCAG